ACACACACACACACACACACACACACACACACACACACACACACAGGCACCCACGCACGCTCCCTCTAGGACTTCAGAGAAGAACTAGGAGTTTGCTGACCTTGGAGAGCAATGTGCTATGGAATAGGAAGTAGAAGCTTTAACTGTCCAGGGTCAGAGCTCAGCTTAGCTGCCGAGCTACAGGAGATGAGCCTGGCTAAGTCATCCATTCACCGTCTCTCAAATGGGAATGGTAATCCGTGTCTCTAGAGGCTTGAGCAGGGGTACAGTATGTTGAAAGGTAAGAGATGTCACAACCATAACTTCAGGCACATGGCAAGTACCCCACAAATGCCCGATGCCTTTTTATATATATATATATCCTTCTATGGTCTGATGAGATTGGGGGTTTCTGCTGTAGCTCCTCATTGATGACCCAACTCTTAAGGATCTTTGTAGGGAGAAATCCTAATTAGAGGTACCGCTGACCACACCCGTTTGGGCCTAGTCACAGGTACCGCTGACCAAGCCTGCTGGGGCGTGGTCAGAGTTACATAACAAGGGTTTAAGCAGGAAGGAGGCCTGCACACGGCTCTTTTTTGCCTGACTGGGCTGACTGGGAAGCATTTCTGGGTCCATCCTGCTCAGGTGCAAACCTGGTCACTGGCTGCCTTGCTTGAGAACTTTTCCTCAATAAACTACCGTTATCAACCTCTTTCTGACTCCACTTTGTAAACATCAATAGATCTCTCATTCTAGGGTTCCGATTTGTGGTACAGAAATTCCGGGAATAACTCGTGCTATCAAAGTTCTTGGGTGTCAGCGTCTAGATCCCCAGAAGAAGATGAAGGGACTAGCTCCCCTTTCAGCAGCCATAACAGCCGAACACGTGCTTGCCATAACCTTGCCTTGGTCACTTAGAGGTCAGATGCCTGCCTTGTGACAAGGAACCAATCAGAAGTTAGTTAGTCACTAGAAAGTCAGATGCCTGTCTCGTGACAAGGAACCAATCAGAAGTTAGCTGGTGGTGCTATGCTTTACGACCCCGGGTGTGCTTTACATACAAGCGCACAGCAATGACGCACAAAGTATAGCAACCACCCTGGGAGGGTCTATGGGCCATAACAACCAGTTGACCAATCAACACAGGGCGAGCCCTCCAAGCCTGGAGGCACACCAATCGTGAGCCTGTGTGTACCCCTAGACACTCCCCTTACACTGCCCTATAAAGATCTATGTGCAGCGGCTTCGAACTGTCTTTGCTAGCCATCCGCCATGGTGGGTGGATGAAAGACCCGAGCTAACATGGGGTTAGCTCGTTAAACTACAATAAAGCCTCGTGCAATTTGCATCAAGCTTTCACCTCCATTCTGTGATTGGGGTGGCCTCGGTCCTGGGCTAAGATTCTGGAAGCCTCAGCTTTCCGAGGGTCTTACAAAGACACTCGCAGCCACAGTATCACAGGGGTGGGCCAGGCATTGCTTCACTAAAGAGCGCACCAAGAGGACCGGCATCTCTGAACAACCAGAGCAAGGAGACTTCTGGTCCAGATGCCGTGGACCTCTTACCTGCAACAGCTCAAACACGGCAAGAAGGTCCCCTCCAGGGAGGTTCCCACAGAAGACGGGGTGATAGCACAGCTTGGGGGGCTCATAGTCCTGGTTAGCTAGTGTCACAACTGGAGCAGCCACCGTGGCACCCAAATATTCCGGCTTCCCCTAGAGAAAGGAAATGAGGTTTTAAATGTCATCTACTAAGTTCTGACCGACAGCTTTCCCCTCCCGTCTTCTACCAAACACCCCTTGCCCAGACTCACCCAGGGCTTGGGGGACAGAGGGGGCTTTCGGGCTTCCAGTGAAACACTAAGAAGATATAACATCAGGGCCTCACTGGTCCAAGACTCCTTCTATAGAGAGCTTAATTAAAGCAACCAACCATGGTAGACGGGAAAGGAAAGGGAAAGGAAAACACAAAATAACAACAGACATTCCAGGCCTCTACTGTGGGCAGGATCATGACTTTTGGACATAAGTAAATCTGGGTCTGTGGTCTCTAAACTGCCTCTTTCTAGCTCTGTGACCTAAGCCTGGCACTCAACTTTTGAGTCTCATAGATAGGGCTGAAGTTTATTTCTGTTCATAACGTCGTAAGAAGTAATGTAATCTTACATTTCATTTGTATTGTGTGCTCAATCCAGAGTAATAGAACATTGATGTTGGTGGTAACCGTGAAGGCTGAAGCCAGTTTGTTTAAGTGAGGCAGTAAAAAGGGGAAATTACCTCTGTGTGTATGCACATGTATGGGCTTTGAGGTTTTTTGTTTTTGTTTGTTTGTTTGTTTGGATTTTTGGGTTTGTTTTTTTTTTGTTGTTGTTGTTGTTGTTATTTTTTTGAGACAGGGTTTCCCTGTGTACCTTTGGAGCCTGTCCTAGAACTAATTCTTGTAGACTAGGCTGGTCTCCAACTCACAGAGATCTGCATGCCTCTGCCTCCCAAGTGCTGGGATTAAAGGCGTGCACCACCAATGCCCGGCGGGCTTCGACTTTCTTTAAGAGCTATGGATGGCCCTCGCCTCTTCCCCAAGCCAGCTCTCAGGTCCACACTCCTCCAGGAGAGGCAGGAGCTATAGCAGCTCCTCTACTTTGCTATTTGTCTGCAGAATCATGAGAGTACATGCCCCACATGGGTGGGACTCGCTGCCCATGTCACCACTCCATCCTCCAGCCTGGGAACCCGCTGAGCATGTAACTGCTGAGTGACAACTGGTTGACACGATCTGCTTAGCCCAAGGACAGTGCCCATCTTCTATTTTAGGTCGGGTTTTAGCATCCAAGCAGCATTACTGTCTTTGGATCCAGGAGCCAGCATTTGCACTGTCGCCAGGGAGGGAGGTGGGAACAAGGCTTTGGCTCAGCCACACTCGACAACAAACAAAACTGCCTGCTGTTGGCATCCGTTGGGAGAGCGGCTGGAGTCAGGGCAGCTTGGTATAAAATGAGTGTTGTGCTTAACGATTATTTGTTCATCATTCTTAGGAGGCATGGTTAACTCAAATGAGCCCTGGAAATGGGCACAGAAACCCAAGCAAACAAATTGCCAAATGCGAATGCATTTCTTATAGTGCCAGTCAACACTCACAGACCACAAGCCAGTGGAGAATGAGAGAAAGTTCTAGACTGGAAACATGGGCCAGAAGAATTATATTATAACAATCTGATTGCCGTGTTTTAGGTGAATGTTGGCTGTAGCCCAGTCACACGCTCTTATGCACATCTCCCCGTGTTTCTCCAGGGGGAAAACACAGACTTTCTGTGTCACCTTTCTTTCCCACAATCCTTTTCCCTTTCTATTTTAAAGCATTATCTGGATTTGTGTGTGTGTGTGTGTGTGTGTGTGTGTGTGTGTGTGTAGAAAAGGGCCACACTGAGTGGGGAACTGGAAATGAGATGGCAAGCAGTAGGTAGGGTACTGGTGAGCAGTGTAACAACTAGCAGGCTAGGGTAGCAAAAGACTCCAAAGATGCTGGATTCCTTTTCAAATAGAAACCAAACACTTATCATGGGATTCGTATTCCAAGGAAGGAGAGTGAAGGGGTATTTACTTTATGAGTCTTCCTCTAGAAAATCTGTCCTACATGCTGAACAGGGAAATGAAATACATTTAGCCCCAATTTAGAGCATCAATGGAGCGCTGGAGGGAGGGGATGCCCCACTCGATGCCACCAGCTGTACACGACGGAGTAGACGCAGGAGTTGTGCGTTCCAGTCCTGACTCCGCCTCTCACTAGGTGTGACTTTTATGAAGGCTTCGAACTTTCTAGATCTGCCCTCCTTCCTAGATAGCAAGAAGGGCAGGACAAAACCTTCATGTTCCACATGGTCCCTAACCCCCCTGTGACTCTGGCATCCTGTTTCCTCCCTGACGCTGGCCCACCGCAGGGCTATCTGGAGCACACTGAGAATGAGGAGGCTTTGGAAAATCTTCTCAGAGCATCTTTTGTACTTGATAGATTTGAGCTTCCTGAGGAGGTAAAGATGTCAAAGAAAAGAAAGAAATCTAAGTCATTCATTGCGGATTTCTTAACTTAGAGAAGAATGCTTATCATAGTCACTTAACATCCCCAGTCGGCTTTGGGAGTCACCTAAGGGGTGGGAGCACCAACGTCTCTGGAGAGGTTTGGCTCATCACCAAAGAGAGCTGTGATGAATATGCCATTGCAGGCCCAGCAGCAGGAAGGTAAAAGAAGCGACCCAGCTACAAGGCTGAATCAGTGAGGGTGCCCAATGCATTTCCTTCCCGCTAGGTGAGAGCAACCCAGACCTGTCTGCAAAAGGCTTGGAGGAGTCAACAGCAGAAACATGGGGCCAGCTAGGGGATCGTGGTAGTTGTGGGTTGCCTTAAGCAATCACCACATCCCTACAGAGGTGGGCATTGACTAAATTTTGCTAATTTGATTATAATATAAAGGGAATTCTAAAGAACAAACTCCAAATAAAGCAGTGACTGTCATCAACTGATGGGGGCTGCCCTTGTGTATATATGTTTCTCTTATTGGTTGATGAATAAAACACTGTTTGGCTGATAGAGCCAGGAAGATAGGCAGAACTAGGAGATAAGGAGAATTCTGGGAAAGGTAGGCAGATAAGCGCCAGAAAGAGTCGCCATGTAGCTAGCCAACGGAGAAATAGGTCCAGACCCTTCCTTGGTAACCCAAGACCATGTGGAAATTCATAAATAGAAATGGGTTAATAATTAAGACAGAGCTAGCCAATAAGAAGCCCTAGGCATCGCCCAACAGTTTAATAATTAATGTTCAGTCTTTGTGTGCTTATTTGGGGCTGAAGCAGTGGCACGGGACCTGGAGCCTGGCAGGACAAGCAAAACCAGCAGCAATCAACACGGTTCTGTATATCACAGTGCACTGGCGTGAAAGCCCCCGCTGGGTCCTGGCCTCTCACAGTGCCAGGACGGCACTGACTTTCCAGTCAGTTCCTGGGGTAGAGCATTTGGAAGGTGCAGTCAGTGCTGCCTGGGCACACTTACCACCGCATCACTGTCATAGAGTTCCACCACCACTAGGGGTGGGGACTCAGCCAATTCCCTCTCCTCGCCATGCAAAACCAACTCATTGAAGAGCAGCATCTGGTTCCAGGTAGGAGAGAGAGTCTGAGAAATGACCTGGAAGAAAACAACACAGGAACCATTTTGCTGGAATGTTCAACAGACACCCTGAGGGCAAAGTGGAACCCATGGCAACTGTTTATTAAATGCTGGGAGATGCAAATTCATGATCTCCGGGAAACTTAGTATTTATAATGTTTCATTAGTGGAGTACTGCTTACCGTCCCATTTGCATGAATAATTTAATTTGCTGTGGTGTTATGATGGCATCAGCTGCCCTTTATTGAGTGATTTTTGTGTGTTACCTGTAGTACTGTGCATTCGCTGACTCATTCAAACCCCAAACGCATTCTGGGTAGAGTTATTTACATGCATGATAAAGGCCACGGAACAGGTCCACATGCTGAGACTCTACAGAGGATAAACTGAAATTCCACCTGGATCATCCATTTTCACAGGCGAATACCACCGACATCTCCACTTTAGGGATCCCCTCTACTGAGAATGGGGAGCTCAAACACAATTTTGTCATCAAAGGCCCTAATGTTGACTTTCATATATCACAGACTTTAGGTAGAAGTCTACAGCTTTGTAGACTGGCTGCTTTGAATAGAACAGAATCTCTGCTCACCATTTGACATGGCATCTTTCTTTCAAGGGAGTTGCTATGGCAGCAAATAGTGACATTGGTAGTGGACTGAACCCATCATACAGATGGAGAAAATAAAAATCAAGGAAGGATGGTAGCTTGAAGTGAAGGGACCAGCTCCCCATTTCGGCAGCCATAACAGCTGAACACGTGCTTGTCTGACCTTGCCTTGGTCACTAAGAGGTCAGATGCTGGCCTCATGGCAAGGAACCAATCAGAAGTTAGCTGGTGGTGCTATACTTTATGGCTCTGGGTGTGCTTCACGGACAAGTGCACATCAATGACGTACAGAGCATAGCAACCGCCCTGGGAGGGCCTATGGGCCATAACCAATTGGCCAATCAACACAGGGCAAGCCCTCCAAGCCTGGAGGCACACCAATCCTGAGCCTGTGTGTACCCCTAGACACTCCCCTTACACTGCCCTATAAGATCTCTATGCAGACACTTCGAGCTGTCTTTCTGAGCCATCCGCCATGGAGCGTGGATGAAAGGCCTGAGCTAACAGGGGGTTATCTCGTTAAACAACTATAATAAAGCCTCGTGCAGTTTGCATCAAGCTTTCGACTCCGCATAGTGATTCGGGTGGCCGAGGTCCTGGGCTGAGATCCTGGAGGCCTGAGATTTCCAGGGGTCTTACAGAAGAATTGCTCCAGAACCATCAGGGTCTCATTCGAATTGGCTAAGCTTCCTTCCCAGGCTGTTCAGGATGAACCTTCAGAAGGGAGAATGTTATTTAAATCTGGATTTCCTTCTCTGTTTCTTTAGACATTTGGAAAGAGGCCAGTTTCACAGACAAAGGGCTGAGTCGTCTGCAGGGTCGGTGGTCGTGCTCCTGGGCAGACACTGACCCATCAATCTGTGAAGCTTCTGCTGGCAAGAGTCACGGCTCTTCCAAGCTGTGCAGCCAAATGGGTTTCATAAGACAATGTGTTCAGCAGCTGCTGGATCCTGGGGAAATTTCCACAGCGCCTTAGAACTGTCCCTTACCTGCCACTACCAACTCCAGGGGGGCTGGAAGGAAGAACTGGCCTGCGCTAACCCTCAGACTTACATAAAACTGCCGGCTCAGTTATCCAGCCAGCTTCAGTTAAATTGTTGGCACTGTGGTTATGGAAGAGCAGCTTTATTACTCTTTATGTAAGCCGTAAAAGTATTGTGTGCCTGCAGTCCGCCTCTCTGCTTGAGTTTTCAGTTTAGACTATTTCATGTGTCAGATGCAATGAGGGTTTAAAATGCTTCTGAAAATTCTAAGTTTGCTGATATCAAAAGACCAAGGTTCAACTGTTGGGGGGGCCAGGAAATATCATTAAGAAATATCTCAGGGTACAAACTTCCGGTTCAGCTCCGGCCTACAATTATATGGCAGATTCCAGCTAATCTGCTATTGAATGACATGGCCTCAGTGGAGAATGTCCCCTAGTTTGCATCTCTACAGAAGTAAGCATTTGAATAGGCCTGCACCTGGGCAGAGGGCTAGGTGTGTCAGTAACAAGGGAGGGCAGAGAGTGAGGAGCCATCTAGGAGAGAGGGATCCACTGGAAGACAGAAATGGCCTCATGGCAAGGTTAGAAAAGAGACAGGAAGATGCCGGATAAAGAAGAGACTCTAGTTTTGCAGCATGGAACTGAGAGCTCTCTAAAGATGACAAGATGCCTGTGTTTGGTCTTTATCGCCTTTGGGTTGCTAGGAGTCTCCAAGTCCACGCTCCCCCACTCAGGCCGAACCTCACAGCTGCTGTGGCTTGAGGCTGAGACATGCCGGGCCACAACATTGAACTCCCGGAAAACTCAGGCCTCGGTGGTCTCAGCCCAGGACCTCAGTCACCCCAATCACCAGGCGGATTCGAAAGCTTGCTGCAGACTGCATGAGGCTTTATTGTTGTTTAACGAGCTAACCCCATGTTAGCTTGGGTCTTTCATCCACCCGCCATGGTGGATGGCTAGAAAAGACAGCTCGAAGGGGCTGCATAGAGATCTTATAGGGCAGAGTAAGGGGAGTGTCTAGAGGTACGCACAGGCTCAGGATTGGTGCCTCCAGCCTTGGAGGGTTTGCCCTGTGTTGATTGGTCAACTGGTTGTTATGGCCCATAGGCCCTCCCAGGGTGGTTGCTATGCTCTGCGCATCATTGCTGTGAGCTTGTCCGTAAAGCACACCCAGGGC